ACTAATAGTGCTTGGTTTGATCCCATCAACTCAGGGTAGGCCCTGGGATGCCCGCCACATAGCTTTAAAAACAAGGCTGTTTTCGTCTGCATGATTGTCGCAGCACACCGAACACGCACCTCATGTGAGCGTGTGCATTGATTTTCATTGTAAAGGAGACCAGTGGGTGTGTTAGTCAATTTGTGCTTGCTGCACTGTGCCACGTGCCGCTTACCTTTTGAGGCCGTTTAGTGTGCTGAGCACATGGCCTTTAATTCAAGTGTATTATGTCAGTCAGTGATTCCCCAAATGTAGAGGTTGTATGAATAGGAATATTGTACATAAGTCAGAAACTAACTACGGTACATCATGGTCGTGACGTGTATTTTTGCTGGCTACACCTGGCTGTCGATCAACATCTACAACCATGCTGCAATGTAACTGCACGCTTTGGAGTTAAAAATTTCACGATATATGTCTGCTTCATGCAACTGATTTCGTTATAATATGGAAAAATGTAGAATTTTAGATAGAACTGACAACTTCAAAGCCATTGAATCAAACGTGAAAAGTAAGTGGAACTTGACATGGTTGTAACGGAAGAGAACCCCTGTTGTTGTGCACTCCACACACTACACTCGGTCATGCACTTGAATGCTGTTTGCCAGGATTAACAAGTTTTTGGAGCAGACCCTGTGGTATCTCTGATATCAACAAATAAGACGGTTATTTTCACACCATGACATTCAGGACATTGATAAATTTATCTGTGATTAAGGAAACCGCGTTAAAATGAAAAACTAAAGAAAGGCAAATCAACACCCTTTATTTCCACTGTCATATGAAGTCAATCCATTTGTTTTGATGTATTTGAAAGTACTTGTGTTTGACATGCTGTACATGCACATGTACTTTAACATTTTGATTATTTTTGAAGATTTTATAATTTATTTAGCATTAATAAAAAGCATGAAAAGGCAATTTGAAATGAGTAGTTGAGGCACTGGAAAAATTTTCATTTCGATTCATTTGTCTGTGCATTGAAAGAAGTTCATACTGTTACCGCACACAACTACCATGCCTTTCACGTGTAACAGCTAACAAATGTAGCCAGTAAGGGGGGTCATTTGGCTGCCCGATTCTTTATTATAGCGTGTCGCTACAAATAAAAACCCCTAGCTAAGCAAACATGGAGTGGTCAAGATGATCTACAGTAGAAACTTAAGTTTGTCAACTTGCAAGAATACAATGGGCGAGGTGTTAACTCTGCCAGAGTTGAAAGTGGAATGACCCACAGAACACAAGGTGTGTAATTTACAGGTAAGCATGTGACTAACGGGCAAGTGAGGGTGCCATCTAGAGGAGACATGCAAATGGCCTGTTACACATGCATGGTGTCAAACAACAGCACACCATACTGGACTTCTGTAAGAGTTATATACACTTTTCTTTTCTTAAAGTTGCACTTTTTAAGTTTCGCTGTCTTCCTCTTTATCTGCCCATCCCTCTTCTTGAAAATATTTGTCAAATTTAGCCTTGTGTTTAGGCATTACTCTGGTCATGGCTTTGTTTACTTCCATGCCTCTATTCACTTTGTTTTTAACCATATGCCGCCAGGAACCCGGTTTTGGGTACCTTGAGTTTGTATGCATAGCTGGGATGGACAAAAGAGCTGGGCCTTGTAACAAAAGACCATACTCGGAACAGAAGACCCGCTGCTAAGAATTGCGATCATTTTTCAGCTTGCATTTATCGGAGGTAATCTATCATTGTTTTGAAACAGTATACCACTGTTTTCAGCATAGTGTGCCCGTGGATTAGCACCACGGACAAAAGTGCTCCAGCTCCCCATTGATGAGCAATACAGTACCACTGCACACTAATTCACCCACGTTTTAAAAGACACCACTGGCATTCATTGGGAACAAAAGAAATTACATAACACCTCACAGTTCTGGGCTCTCTTTCCAGGGCAGCAGGCCTGGCTGAAATACTTGGGCATCAATGGAGGTTGCATGTCAGATTAGAGTACACACACGACAGTCATTCTTGTGGGTGTAAATGTCCATTAAATGAAATTATGAATTTTGAAGAATTTCGAAAAAGGAAAATCTTGGAAATTGCTCGTATGTAGGCACTGCATTTTTAAAAGCACCCAGCAGCATATGGTTATGGTCTTCCAAAATATCCTGGTGACTATCATCATCTTCTAGATGTAGGCAACTTGACAAAAATCCTTGTACTTGTTAAAAAGATTTGCTTGAGTGCCGATAAAGTCTTCCTTTTAGCTTTTTCCTTGGCTTGATCTTCATCCATATCCCTGTCTATGTACTTTTCATATTTGTCACTCCAAATTTGTCCCTTGGCCTCCACTGACACTTTTAACCAGTCTAAATAGGCGACATTGTCTTCTAAATCTGAAGTAGACTCAACTTTGCTCAAAGATTTTCCATCCTCTGTCTTTGTTTTGGATTCAGAATCAACATCTTCGAAATTTTTGTTTCCACCCTACTTAGAGAAACCAGCACTGAAAATCATTGAAACACTGGAACTGGAAGTTAATGCAAGCAGTCTGTTTACCCCATCAAGCCCATGAATCAGTGATGCACATGCATGAATGATAAAATCAAAAACTAGATATAGCATACGCACTCTTGATGTGTTATGTTGAAATTATTATTCATATCAAAACTGCAGTGACCAAAACACGTGTGCATTCTTACTCCTGCTTGCTCTTGCAATTTTAAATTTGAAGTGGGATGCCCCTGTCATAATAGTTGAACTAATAATTTCATTACTTTTCATTGACCAATTTTTTTCAGTGGTGTTTTACTGGCAAGCTCGTAGTAGTTGCAATCGTACAAAATTTATTAATCCAATTCTCAATGTACCCCACCCCTAAAGCACAGACATACGTCTTTCAAGTTTTTCAGTGTAATTGGAAAGTGTAGGTTGTGCTTGTTTGCCCTCCATTTTGTCATTTGTAATTGCATACCTAGGCAAGGTGCCTCTTTTACAAAAGAACACCATGTCAAATGATCTGCACTATGACTAGACATGAAATTATAAGTTATGTTTATCCCCTTGCATGACCAATACGTAAGTTTCTTTTGTTCTCGAAACTGGCACAGTGCACGGCTGGCATCTTTTAATAGGGACCAGATTAGCATGCAGCAGTATTGTATCGCTCATCACTGGAGCGCTGGAGTGCTTTTGTCCACAGTGGTAATCTGCTTGCGCTGAATGCCACAAACAGTATTATAATCTTTCCAAACAATGACGGATTTCCTCCTCTGTTGACAACTGGCAAAATGTTAGCAATTCCCAGCAGTTCGGTCTTTTGTTCAAGTATGGTCTTTCGTTATAAGGCCTAGCTATTTTGTCTGGTTTCATGCTCCTTGGTTTTGTGCATGAAGCCTGTGTGCCCGAAACTGGGCACCCCAGCAGGAAATGGTTTAAGCCGGGTTTTCATGTGGTCATTTGTAACATAGACGGTCCACAGGACGTGAAGATACAGACATGAACAGAAGAGACAGCGCATTCTACCCAAAAATTCAAACAAAATGGCATCCAAAATACTGATTTTTTTGCGGAAAACACCCTTTTAGATTGACTGTGCCCTTCATAATGCCAAACTTGTACTCCAGTTTCATGTATTTTATTGATGGTCAGCTATTTGGTTGCATTTGTGTAACTTCATCAAAGTTACACCAAGGAAGGACCTTAATGCATAAATGGTCCTAGAACAATGACATCGTGTTGGTGTAATTCAGTGTCAAATTACAAGCACTTAGAATTCGATATATTTCATCAAATGCTTGTTACATTCCTGAACTTTCTTTTGTAACAAGTAATAGTAATTTTGGGTCATTATTTGTTTGTTATGTACATAAATCTATTGACCTTTTACTTCAGTCAAAGCCTTATTATTTGATGTTGGTAAAATATATCAACTGGCTTTCAGTGGTTTTTGTCTCTAGTCAGCATTTTTCAAGACTTTGACCGGAGACAGATATTGAAAAAAATACAAAATGAGTTAATGTCTGTTCTAAAGTTTGCTGTGATGACTTGAGTATTGGTAGATATAATTGCTTTCACGCATACAACACAACAAGAGCAGCAGGGCATGAAGCAGAAGAGGGCGAAGCACGGGCCATCTCCCCATCATTACCTGGAGCTGTCTCACCGACAGAATGCAGAGCCAACTCTACAGCTAGGGCTGGCAAACCCACTGACCTCTACACCGCTGAGGCTCCCACATGCCCAGCCGTATCCCTCATGTATCCCTAACTTCTATTGTAAAACTCTGAGAAAAAAGAAAGCCTCAAAAGATTTCAAACATGTAAAAGCCATTTGTTCTGTCCATCCAAACAGAGACACCACCTCTATTTGTTTGTTTTGTTTTGTTTGTTGGGGTGTTTGTTTGTTTGTTTTTTTTTATTGTGCTTTTTAATAATGTGCATAGTTCTACTTACAAAGGGACTGAAGTCACACTCTAAACATGTGTACAGAGTCTAAGGACTTTAGAAAAGAAGAATAAGAAGGAAAACGAGAGCTACTATGTTTGTTTGTTTGCAGCAGAACATAGGCTTTTCTACATTTCTAAGTTTTGAAAAAAATGCACTAGCCGTACACGTGTATGTGCTGCAACAAAGTTAAGATGTACAAAACTTGCAGATCAGACTTGCAGAAAAGTGTAAACGTCTACAAAAATCACAAGATTAAATCTTCATGATGTCATCCTGACATTGTCATCCCTCCCTACCTGCTGAGGGGGGAGGAGGGGGTTGCACCACCGATGTTTGAATGTATCTCATTTCCTCCCTGTAGACCTAAGTATCATGTACATACATTGTGGTTGAGCAAACTGTATACTATCCATACAAATGAAGAGGTCTATGTACTTTCCAAAAGATTAACATTCTTGCAGCTCTGTAGTTTCATAAATAGCCATTAAACATTGTAAACAGATGTTTTATGACATTTAAAAAAATTATCAACACATTTTGTGTTATACACAGGTCAAGTACATTAATGGAGGGAACATTCATCAAGAAACAGTTCAGTAAACACTACTCATATTTCAGCGACCAGTCCGGACTGAGCCATGACCAAAAAGGGTCTGTTAATGCAGCCACTTCGTTGCTGTGCAAAACCAGAGACATGGATGCAGCATTAAAAGTAAGTAATCAGAGGGAGTAGAAATGTCAAGCTTTCTTTCTTTTAATTGATTTAACACTACATGTTCGCTGATTTTGTTTTTCCTCAACTACTTGAGGTGCAAATTTGTAGCCATTGGATGTATGTGATGCAACTTGTCATTGGTTCATTTTATTTCTTCATTTTTATATGCACGCATGCCTGTACAAAATTATACAAATACTGTAGAATGTTTTGTGCTGCTTTAAGTCCCTCTTTTCTTCCAACTAGTTCTTCACATGAGTGTTGTCTCTATTGAGGTTAAATTGTTATGGTTTCCTAGTGCCCTCATTGTTGAAACGATCTGCTCTGTTTGAATTTATAGCTAGATGTGGATTCCTGACAAACACCTTGCATAAAGTACTGTATGTATTGTCTTTACTTGTCGGAACACAACCACAGCTTAATGCATGTAAGTGTGCTTACTGGAGAACCCAGGTGTGGATGCAAGCTTTGGTTACTCAAATCAATAAGTCTGTGGATTATTTGATTACATTGCTCAATTTGATTAATTGCAAACAACTTTGTTAAAATAAGGGCGTCATTTCCAAAGGTACACAGTTACACCCAAAATGTCTCAAAGGTGGTGTGCATCATTGTTTGTTTGTTTTTTCATAATTTCACAGTATTGACTGATTACGGTGTGTAATATTCACTGCAACTTACATTCCACTCACTTGTTTCATGTTTAAGTCAACTGCTTTGTGAAAAATCAAGAAAAACAGGGTGGCATTTTCAATGCGTAAATCGAAGGTCTTGTAGTTTATCTTTTGTAAAATCTATGGATTAAAGGGCATTCGTAGTATAAGCGAACAATATCCGCGAGGTCAGGGTGGGAAATAGGCATGACAGGTCCTCATTCCCTCAAAAAGGAGAAGTTTTCAACAGCTAGGAGTAATCAGTGATTTTATCTTGGAGTTCTGTGCCTCCTCGACAATGTAGCATTGTGGATTCATGGAAAAACTTCATCCAGGAACACAACAGTCGACTCATGTCCGTGCCCACGTGGGTCAATTTACACATTGATGAAAGTCTAAAACTCCATTCATAGTTGAGTCATTACTAATTAAAAGTAAAAAAGAGTTATGTCTTAAAACAAGGGAGGGTTAACATGTGGAAATCATACTTTTGGTGGACAAAAATCATCATGCTCAGAAACAGCCGTTGTATTGGATCCTACCATTATTATCTAGGGGTGATTTTGAATTCACAAAGTTTTCCATTAAAAAACCTTTCCTTAAATAAAATTCAACTTCACACTGAACCGATGTATTTTCTACTTTACACCTATTATTCAGGTTTCTATAATTTCAGTTTGAATTGACTTACATATGAACAAAAATCTTTGTATATTATCCTTATTTAAGAAATAACTTTAACCACTTCACGCCGGGCATTGCTTTCGGCCTTCGTTGTTCCGACACCCTTCTTGGCAATTATGCACAATGTACCATTTTAACATTCACCATACACTGAGGTAATATGCCCAAAAGAATAACTATTCTCCTTTGGAGATTCAAAACTCACATGAGACCTCCTTCGATGTAACAGTAGCAGCGAAACATTTCACCCAGAACAGGGGCTTATCGTGCAGTGTTCATTTTTGCGTAATTTCTCTGGCATGGAGAAGACACAGTAGCCGTTGACCAGGGTAAAGTCCAATAGATAGAAGAACAGTTTCTTCCTATGAAACATGCCGTAAGTGACATTATACCATTGCATAAAGTTGAGTAGTTCTGGCTGCAGAACTACTAAGTTCGTCATGTACGTTAACAAAAGTACAGGCTGGGATGTATTACTTGGAGAAATTGAAGTGAAATCGTATCAACAAGTACATGCGTAACTTGACCCCATCTTAAATATTTAAAAGCTGATATCCGATCATCAGCTTTTCTGCAATAAAAGCCATTATTTGTTTTTTTCCCATGTTCTTCTCCTTCCTGTTCTTCTTGTTCTTCATATTTTTGTCCCCCAAATCCCATTCCATTGCAGAAAATAACTCACCTCTGTTTACCAACATTTGCATATCAGTGCACATATACAAGGAAACTTGCTGAAAAAGCTGCCCAAGCCACACACCCACTGCAAGTTCCTTTACAAAGGGCTGTGTAACACAAAGACTCCTCTTAGTTTTTCAGTGACAAAACAAGATACAGATCCGTAAGCTCAAGCCATGCTCTGTGTGAATCACATGATCCCTCAGGCCTGATCGGTACTCCAAGCATGATATTTCCACTGTGATGACCGACACTACTCTGCCAGGTTTATCGGTCGGAAATTCCCCAGGAATAGGCCATCAACCATTCACAACCAGCACTGTTCCTCGGGAAATCTGGCATGCCTTTGGATGTTGGGGGCATGTGACCTTATTGGGGCATGCGGCCTATTGGTTAGGGTTTGTAGCTTCTGATCATAGGGGGTCAGAGGTTAGAATCCAGCTGGTGGCAGCATGTTGCATTCTTGAGCAAGTCACTTTACTTCCATGTGCCTCTCTCCTTCCAGGAGTAAATGGGTACCTGTGAGGGCAGATTGGTTATGCTAGCCATGTGTACCTGATAGGGCTGCATCAGCTAGTATACCGTAATGTCTCTCTTGGGGTATGGAGTCCTTATCATAAAGAATAAGAGTCATTGGACTGACTTATACAAACTACAGTTTTATTGCGAAGAATTATTTACATCTTCTCCATATTTACAATGACCAACTGCTACTAGTAATGCTTGATATTACTGAAGTACTGCTGGTCCAAATATGAGCTATTTATTTGAGAGTGATAGAAAGGTTGTTCTTATCGGAGCTATACACTCACGAACGGTCAGGGAGTAGTTTCTCCAAAGCTGCCCACTCGGGAATGATCGATGCTGACCGCTGGAGCTGGTCCCTATATATAGACTTTTGGGGCTGCGTCTTAGCCAATGGGAGCACTGGATTGGGGTGGTTATGAATAATTCATTCATGTAGAAAGTCTACGGAAGAAAAGTCTATGGGGCCTTTGTACACACTTGGTCTTCGCTGACATAGTTTCTGGAGAACGATAAGGTCCGAGAAGTTTGGGAGCAGGAGGGTGAAAGGCTGTTCATGGGTGAGCTACGGGGGGACTTGGTCAGTGAGGGAAAGGAAAGGGTGAGCCCTTCTGGGTACATTGCATTGTGTACAACACTTAGTCTCTGGATGGCTAGGAAATCTACACGTTATTCTTATGGGATAAAACTGAGGGTGAGCGGAGGTAATTGACCTTACTGTGCAGTGACCGGACGCAGGCTTTCGGTGTGTGGTTTGGCGGGACACATATGGTATGAGTTGGGGGTCTGTGTTGGTTGAATGTACAGGTTATGTGTGCGACTGGAAGTAGGATTGACTCCGAGGAAGATTTGGGAGAAAATGACTAAGTTGGCAGTGTGCTTCGGAGTTGCGGTTCAAGGGCATGTTGCAACATAGAGCAGCGTGTGGAATGCAATGCACTGTGTACAATGCGTGTAATCTAGATGGTTGTTGCGCACTCGCTGTGCGGTAAGTGGTGTGTGTAGTAGTATGGAGGAACGAACACAAGGAGTTCGAACAAAGTGAACATCAAAAGTTCAGACTGTCTTGCCACGGTCGTAAAACAACTGGGGGAAGACTGCAAGTCCATTATCTAAATCTAATTATCACGACGAAAGCCATCCCAGCCTTTACCGTGTTGCATTATGGGTGTACAACTGCGCATGTTCAGTTTACCAAATCCATTTCAACACGGCGGTGTAGGGCAAAGAAGATTTTGTTTATGGTTCCGATTTGAGCAATGTGAGCAATTTTTCTGAAGATGATTTGAATGTGAATGAGTTATCCGACATCAGCAATGACTCTGAAGACGATGGTCATTAGTACTGTGTTTGTAATGAAGCTTCAACATCAGAAATGATCGCTTGCGATGACGACCAGTGCGCCATTGTTTGGTCAAATTACAATTGTGCTGGCCTCAACAAAGAAACAATCCCGTAGTATTCATGGATTTGTAATCGTTGATGGCCTGCAAGCTCAACTAAAAAATCAGGTATAGTTTCCCCCATTTATAGGGGTCTTCTCCTTCAGGTTTTTTTTTTTCAAAATTTACTTGAACATGTTGAAAGAATTTTGCAATTACTCCTCAAGTTTTTTAAAAGTTGTTAGGCCCAAGGCCCTATTTCCTGCATGGTTAAATATGTTCATGAATGACTGAATATTGATGAATAATTTATTTTTTTTTTAATTTTTAATTTAGGCCCCAAGGCCTCAATCAGTTTTGTGGGAACAGGACAATTTATTTTAAAAAATTAAATGAGTACAAACCTTCGTGATCATACTGTGTTTAAATAAAATAATACTAGGCCTGGTACTAATAGTTTTGTGCAGATAATAATTTTTGCAGATGTAGCTTCTGTCAGTATGGAAGATGTCCCAGAATCCAATGCAAGTACCAGTACCGGAGTGGCATCAGTTTCAAAAGAAAAAAGGTGTCCGATTCCAAGGCACACAAAGAGAAAGTCAAGAAAGCTGGGAAAACGGGTAAACTAACCTGTCATAATAATAGAACCACACTTTTATAGTTCATTATGAGCGAGTTATGAAAATGACTGAATCAACACTGAATATTGTTTCAAATATTAAAATTCTTATCTTAACTTCTAAGCTGTCAAACGACCAAAGTCCAAGTTCTCTGCTGGAGATGCGCACAAAAAAGTCACCACCGACGTAGTTGCAGCTCTGGATGAAATGAAAGAACATCAACTGTTTAAGTCTGCTACTTATCCAATAGCACTGTGTGTCATGAGTTTACTTGTAAGCTTAACTGAAGTGACAAGCTCTGAAGAATTTAAAAACTTCAGTTTATCTACAGTAACTTCGCTGTGGTTGGTTGTCACTGCTGGTGATGCAAAACTGCTGAAACCAGAGGCATATGATGCCCTGTGGAAAGCTTTTCATCAGTACCATTTGAAAAGTGTAAACACAGGGATCAGTTTTCT